AGCTTGGTAAGCTGGGGCAGCAGAGTATGCTGGGGCAGCAGAGTATGCTGGGGCAGCTTGGTAAGCTGGGGCAGCAGAGTATGCTGGGGCAGCTGGGTAAGCTGGGGCTGATGGGTAAGCAGGGGCAGCTGGGTAAGCTGAAGCCTTGTAGGCTGGTTTGTAGGCTGGGGCAGAGCTGTAGGATGGAGTTCCTTCTTTCTTCACTTCAGCGTTGAATCCGTTAACGTCGTCAGCGGTATATTCGACGATTCTCTTGGTGCCATCAGCTTCGACCAGGCTGTAGGATCCCTTTACGTAACCGTTTCCGTCACTGTATTCAGATTGGCTCTTGATATCGTAGGTGGAGTCATCGTGCACGCTGTAGTCGAAGTTGTACGGGGCTGGTGCGTATGCGGCTTCTGGGGCGTATGCCTTTGGTGCTGAATATGAGGCAGGCTTGTAGGCAGGTGCTGGGTAAGCTGATGGTGCTGGGTAAGCCGATGGAGCTGGGTAAGATGATGGTGCTGGGTAGGCAGATGGTGCCGGGTAGGCTGGGGCTACTGGACCGGCAATTGCGGAAACCAGCACGCAGGCGAAGACGGCGACAGTCTGTAAAAAAGTTAGACGACCCATTTAGAATAGTTGTAACGAGTGTGTCACTGATAATATCAAACACAATATCAACTAATATATTGGTGTCATATTATATTGTGGTGTAATAATATTAAATGTATATTATAATATCTTTGATGTAAAACATTTTGATTGGAAAACATCTAGATTGGTTTTATTTCTATTGCAGTTAATGCTGTCAAGTAATTTATTGTTTATTAGTTAACAATAAATACTTTTAATCATGTGTGAATGGGACAAAACTCAAAACTCATAGGGTATTCAAACAAGTATTAAAGATACTAGAATATACATTGTGTAAAAGAACAAAAATGCATTCAGAGATAAAATTAAAAATGTACAATGCGATTTTTTTCATTTAAACAAAAATAGTTATTAAATATTCGTATGCTATATTATATATTAATATTTATGTAACTTTAGATGTCTTAAAATAATTAGTATCATAAAATAACGGAAATACAGTGCCCAACTTATATTTTACTGTAAAATAATAAATAATATGAAATCGAATTGTTTAACTAAAATACAGCACGAGAAAACAACTGTTCACATTTTTTCATGTGAACACTTGCTTTTCTTTAAGTATGCAAAGTAATAGCGAACTCGTATAAAAGTAAACTTTTGAACACCACGAACTTCTCGAACTAGTGTGCCCGAAGTTATTTCTGATGAATAAATGAAAACATAAATAAATATTAAACTTATGTCACTGAAACAATATTTTTAACGCACGGCGAGGTTAATCATAACATGTTCTATAATATGATATAGTATGGTACTTACTTTGAATGCCATTTCGAATAAATATAAGTTTTTGTTGTTGTTAAGTGTGTTAAAACTGAACGTTGACTGAGTAATGTTGATTGACAACGAACCGCTTTATATATTAATCCGAGAGCTGAATTTGCTCCCTCCGGGGGGCATTGTGGCCTCACACGGCATCTGTAGCGAGGGCGTACCCAGCGTCGTAAACAGCCGGATTGCGTGATCCCGGCGGGGCGTTTGGGGGTTCCCCCGAGCGAAATTTTACCGAAATAGCACCAGCCATAGCCTGGTTATTACATATTATTGTTATGCGTATATCGTTACGGTTCTATTTCCATTTATTTGTCTTCGCGATCGCGATCTGGTCTGAATCACCAACTGGTTAGCGACCACGTTTACAATATTTCACATTTCCTATAATGCTTGAACACTTTCTAAGTTCAGATGAAATAAAAATTTGAATTGCTACAGAAACGTAAATTAAAAAATCAATTCGTATTTTTTCAGTCGGTGTTTAGAATTATTATACAACATCGTTACAGCAGACGAATGACGAACATTGTTCTAAATTATAAAAGGTGGGAGTCAGGTATGGCGAAGCCACAATGTCGAAAAGTAAAATCGCATCAGACGTCTATGATACGCGGGCAAGTCATATTCATTTCGTTATTTTAAAAAATAACTCGAAAATGCCAATGGTTATAAATTATGTTTCATATAAATGTATTTATGATCAGTGAAAAATATCGTCCAATATTTTTATTTGTCATCAGTTTTTTGTTTTGGTTTTAATACTTTTTTCCAATTTTGTGATAACTTGTTTCCTGTCTTTCAGTTAAGATTTCACTGCGTTTATGCTAATCAGGCTGGTTATATTAATATGGAAAGTATTTTTAAACTCGTTTATGTTGTAGAAAACAAATTATTTTTCGTATTTTTAAATCGTATCAATTATTAATGCATTGATTCCATCATAATATTACGTAAATGTAATACTTTTAATCCAATAGCTAAACTGGACCTATGAGTTTATTTTTATAATAATTGTAAAATAGGCATTTATATTACTTATTCTAATACGTATAGGCCTTGTAGCTGTCGTCAATGGACTCAACTAGGATATACCGGCTGTATTTTAAGTAATTTTCTCAATAATATGTGTCTCATAAAAAAATATTCTGGTCACGTATGATGTAGTTCAAGCCTAACATTATCGACCTTGACTCTCGATAAGCTCATAAGTAATAAAAACGTGTAGTGGATGAAATTGCCGTAAAATTACTCCGATATCATATATCATCTTAGTTCGCATACCTACTTTAAGAAATGAGATATATATGTGATCGAGCATGCAGTTTATTGGAAATCAGGTGACGTTAAGCTCATTTAATTTATGTTCACATCATAAACCGTCATCGAGTCACTGACAAATCTCGCAATTAGATAATAATATTATATAATGTAGATCCAGGTGATGGCAATTCATCATATTTATACTGCTGTCATCTCATTTCTAATAAAATAGTTAATACACATCCGGAATAATGATTATGGTAAAAATGTGTTAAAATTTGATCCTATAAATAAATATATGGTATATGTGTATTCAATTTGATAAAGCAAATTTATGGAAAACAATTTTAAATATTTTTTTTACTTGTTTATTATTATCATATTACATGTAAGATCCTTATATTATGTAGAATCACCTCGTTTGAAACAATAAATTTGTATATAATATTATAATCAACTACATTTTCATTACGCGATTTGTTAAACATAAAAGGTAATTAGTCTTTTATGTCCAGTAATTACAGTTAAGTAGATATTTTCCATAATAATTTAAGTGTTGACTGCTTACTACTCTACTATTACAATGATAATTATGAAAATTAATAATTATACGTCACTAAACGTCATTTACTTTCAGTTTCTAGTTATCAAATTTCACGATCCTGACGTATAAAAAACGATTATTTAATTTGATATCCACAACAACGTCGTGTCCGTGAATTTTATTTTTATATTATGATTAAGGTGGTATTAAATATATTACGTATATTCGAGCAAAGCGGATGCATATACTTTTCACGTAGTGACAAGTGGTTACACGTCGGATAGGCACTTATCAAGTAACACGCTTTTTATAGTGTTAGGTTTAAATATTTGTAACATAATGTAACTAAAACATTTTGTACTCGTAATCATGGGCCAGGTGTTGAACGACTTTCGAGATTTTAGGAATTCCAATTATTTACCATTAGGAATATGAATTACGTCTGGTATTTTTTTTCTTAACATTTTAATTTTCATAGTTAATATGTAATATATATATATATATAACTAATTGTAATTTTTTTCTGAAAACGTTAACATTGCTATTATTTTTACGATGAAATCTTGGTATTATTATCTACAACAATATCTAGCTAATTTATAAATCAAAACCATAAGTTTTAAATAAAAATTCATATCATCAAAATAGAAGTTATTTAGAGAAGTAAATCATAATAAGTAATAACATACCATTATAATTTATAAATAAATTTATATGTTGAAATTGTTGCAAGATTTTAAAAGGTTTTATTTTTTACTGAAACTTAAAAAAATACACGAACTACCTTTAATACACATTACTTTTAATACAGTGCAATTTAAAAATTATATCTAACACACAAGATAGCAATGGTAAATGTTAAGTAATTTTTCATGAAAAAACTTGTACAAATAAATAAATTTA